GTTCAGGTGTATATCAGTATGTAGTGTCTCTACTTTAAAGAGTCCTCTCCTGCTGATGTTCAGGTGTATATCAGTATGTAGTGTCTCTACTTTAAAGAGTCCTCTCCTGCTGATGTTCAGGTGTATATCAGTATGTAGTGTCTCTACTTTAAAGAGTCCTCTCCTGCTGATGTTCAGGTGTATATCAGTATGTAGTGTCTCTACTTTAAAGAGTCCTCTCCTGCTGATGTTCAGGTGTATATCAGTATGTAGTGTCTCTACTTTAAAGAGTCCTCTCCTGCTGATGTTCAGGTGTATATCAGTATGTAGTGTCTCTACTTTAAAGAGTCCTCTCCTGCTGATGTTCAGGTGTATATCAGTATGTAGTGTCTCTATACTTTAAAGAGTCCTCTCCTGCTGATGTTCAGGTGTATATCAGTATGTAGTGTCTCTACTTTAAAGAGTCCTCTCCTGCTGATGTTCAGGTGTATATCAGTATGTAGTGTCTCTACTTTAAAGAGTCCTCTCCTGCTGATGTTCAGGTGTATATCAGTATGTAGTGTCTCTACTTTAAAGAGTCCTCTCCTGCTGATGTTCAGGTGTATATCTGTATTTAGTGTCTCTACATGTCTCCATGCTTTAATGTTCTAAAGCTCTTTATTGTTCTCATACTGCCTGTGCTGCAGCACCTCTTTTCACCCTCTGTCTGAAACCAGAGCCCAGTCTGCTCTGATTGGTTAGCGGCCGGATCTGTTGTGATTGGTCAACTGCTTAGAGCTGTCCCGCCCCTTAACCTATCACATACAATGTGTTGGAGATAGCCAATAGAAGTGCGAGTGTTACATATTTCAGCCTTTGCAGACCATTGAAACAGAAACCACAGAAACCTATAGAACACACTACAGGAAAGGGGAAAACCCTAAGAAGCCTAATAGGGCCTCTTAAAAAAAACGAAATGTTAACATACCTGCACTATGGCCACAAATCCATCTGAGAAGGTGCCTCTGAGGATGGCATTACGGGTCGTACCAACTAATAGTTCCTCCCCATCAACATCTGCAATGGTACGCACTGCCCCGTAGTTTTCTGGAATCTGGACAAATAATCACGTTAATCAACAAGCCTTTAATGGGACTTCCTCTGAGCCCTCCACCGACACATCAGACACACATACAGCTGTGGTTCACCTCACACTCTCTCTCGGGGGCCAGGTCGGCGCTCCAGCGGATTATCTTACGGTCTTTCCCTCCCCCGCTGAGCAGACCCCCCCCCTGCAGGGTGCACAGGGTGAACACGCTGCCTTCATGGGCACGGGTCTGTCGTATGATCTGCAAAGTCTCTGTTGGAAATTAAGCCAATTTTTCAGTGGATAGAGAGAGAACAATTATGTCAATTTGCGCATTGAGGTACTACAAGAACCTCCACACCTGGAGCAGCAGATTCAGCTTCCTCCCCTCTGCTATCACCTGAACTCTGAACAATGACAGCGTTCAACTAACCTAATACAGTTATGGGAGAAAGGTTGATATAATACAATTAACTAAAATCAACGTTCAGTTTAGTTTTTTCGGTGCTGAAAGTCCTCTCCTGTGATTGACTGATTGACTGACTTTGATGAGTGACCTCATCACTTTATTTATACAACTGTCCAAATGACTACATTTTTCTTACTCATATCTATTCATATTATTTAACGCGTCAGCTAGAAACCCCTCAGACTTCTCTCAGAGCTGTGCCTGGTCATTGATCTCATTTTGTCAGGCAGGAAATCCAAAATGTGGGATATTTCTCAGCGAGTAAAGGACGATTAAAACTCTGCAGGAAAAAAGTCTCTTCCGTATCCACGCCATCGGAGCGCAGCTTCCTGAACGCCGGCATCATAACAAAACACGGAGCTTAATTACCCTGACAACATGTGTTCCTTTCTCATAATTGGAGGAAAACATCAGGCAGGCAGCAGCCTAGCATTAAATCAACATATAATATATATAATAATCATTCTGACCTCAGAAAACGATAAATGAACGCTTTCATTTCATGATGAGGGCGTAATGTGCGGAGGTATTTTTGCAGACGCGCATATTTGTCGGTGTTTCTGTTTCCTGTGTAGTATTTATTGGATGATCATTGACTGTTTGTGCTCTCTGCTTGTTTCGACACACATTAACAGTCCTTACAGGCGTCTCTGCTGTATGAACCGCTGACTTTCTACATGTAACATTTCATTTATATGGCGAAATGTAATTATTACAGTTTAATTTAATATGTTATGTGAAGCACAACGTAACAAGCTGTTATGTTCTTCATCAGCATTTGAAACAGGCATAACAAATAATAATCATATTATATATTATAAATGTGCAACGATTAGTCGACTAATCGCCTGAATTGACGACAGGGCAGCCCTAGTCAAAACTGTATATTTTGACACCTGATCATGATCTGTTTATACCTCCCTATAGTGTTCATAGTTAATACATCAGTTTGTGTCTGTCACAAACTTGAATAACTCACTTATGTTTAGATGCATTTGATTTTGTGCAGTACACTAACCTTTGGCTCCTTTCCCGAGCGTTTTGACGTCTGCGGCTGACTTTCCCCACGTCAGTATGTTTCCCTCGGAGTCTCCGGTCAGAACGTCTCCGGTCAGACTGAACACAAAGCACTGGATGAACTTCGGCTTCTTGTGTTTCTGAAAAGATGTTTATAGAACAATACATTGATACATTGTTAGGTCTGGCGTAGAAATACATATTTGATTCAAAATACTCAACATTTCATCAATTACATTTAAATCAGATTCACAGCTTGGATTCTTCCAGGTTGTTCATTTCTCTTTTGGACGTTCTCTCCCAAATCAATATGGTTATTCACAAGTTTGACTTCTGTATGTTTGACCTCAAACTGAGGAAACTGATTCATTTCATTTGTACTTTCTGTACAGACAATAAGGGAACTTGAATTGAATTTTTTTTTTTTAAAGTAATTTTTAGAGGAACATGAAAAAAGTCAGATTTATTCAAAATGATTTTAAATTTAAAATAATACCTGTCTTCTTCTTCTTCTTCTTCTTCTTCTTCTTCTTCTTCTTCTTCTTCTTCTTATTATTATTATTATTATTACCAATAAGCATTCATATTAGTTGTGTGATTTTTAGAGGATTTAGTTTTAACTTTCTAAACGTTCAGCTTAAAATGTAATGTTTCTTTGACCAAAAAGGGAAAAAAAGAAACAGAAAAAGGGAAGATTGTTTTTGCGTTCAGGATGAATAGAAAGTGTCTTACTCCGAAGATGCCTTGCTTCTTGGTGAACTGTCCTGCGCTGAGCGTCCAGAAGTAGACGTGGGACTTCCCGCAGGTGATGATGTTGGAGCTGTCGCTGAGGTTAAACTCCACCGCGAACACAGCCTCGTTGGTATTCTGGAAACACCACACACACAAACACGTGTTAGGCACAATCAGAAAGACGTTTGAGGCAAATGAGGGTCTTGGACAGTTGTTTTTTTAATGATAAGGCTGATAGGAGTGCAGAGAAGTAATCAGGAAAAGTTGTGGAACATAAAACAATGATATAAAAGAGGCGTAAAAAGGTGATGAGATGCAGAGTCAAGTTATGATTGTCTATTCGATCATAACTATGATTGACTCCTTTCAAATGATTTTTTAATTACTATTTCACAATCATTTGAGTCATTGTTCAGAATAAATATGTATTAATTTGGCTTCTAGAGCTTTAAAATCCATCTCATGCATCTATTCAATGTGGCACATATCATGATTTTAAAGTAAAAACAATGGATCCAATGTGTTAATGAATAGTTCTAGATTTTTTTTATTTGATCACATAGGATTTGTATTAAACCCTGCACTTCGCCTCAGCTTCACAGAGCATTTTGGCCTCTTTAAGCTCTTGGTTTTGGTTGAACATCCTGCAAACTCAGCCTTTTAATCCACTGTACACTATCTGTTTAGGGACACATGACAGCCAGAGTAAGGTATTTGTTTGCTCACACCTAGTTTGTGTTGTAAAACAAGCTTGAATTTGCAAGAACTGCAACCACCTACGCAGTGATGCTACCAATGAGTGCACGTTGAGGGGTGAACAAAGGATGGTAGGAGCAGGGCTTGTATGTAGGGGGAGGGGCAAACTATTATAATGAAAAGGACGGTTGATCAATTGATGCTTCCAAGTCATGGGCCACTCACTACCATATCCTATTTGCCAATTGGCAAGAACACAAAGACACACCTTCACACCCACACAAGACCAGGATTGCGTTAGAATTGTCAGTTTGGATTAGTAAGGTTCCTAACAGAGTGAAGTGACCCGGAAATCTCAGCCATGATAAGAGCTGTTCACTTCTCTAGATGATAGGAAAGGAGCTTCAATACTTCCTTTAGCTTAGGAAACACTAGACCAGGGCAGATTTTATAACTACAAAATTCAGCTGGGCCAGACATTCAGCGGCCTGTAAAAAGCGGGTAGTGACACATTTTAAACCAACACATATTACTGCGATGAAAAACATGCAATTTTTATTTATGTTTCACAAAGTGCATTACTGAATACAATAATAGCAGTCTTAATAAAGCCTCACATACAAAAAAAACGGCTAAGCAACACAAAGAGGTAGTATAGCAATACTATTTTTTCACTTTTCAAGTAATAACAAAAAAATCATACGTTTTGGTCACATTTGACCCAGACACATTACAAAGTGAAAGAGTCCTCTCCTGCTGATGTTCAGGTGTATATCAGTATGTAGTGTCTCTACTTTAAAGA